TTACGGCGGACCCTCGCGAGAGTTCTTCTTCCTGCTCTCCCGCGAACTGTTCAACCCGTACTACGGCCTGTTCGAGTACTCGGCCAACGACACGTATACGGTGCAGGTGTCGCCGCTGTCGGCGTTCGTGGACAACTGCCACGACTGGTTCCGCTTCAGCGGCCGGGTGCTGGGACTGGCCCTGGTGCACCAATACCTGCTGGACGCCTTCTTCACGCGACCCTTCTACAAGGCGCTGCTCCGCCTGCCCGTGGCGCTCAGCGATTTGGAGTCGCTGGACAACGAGTTCCATCAGTCGCTGCAGTGGATACGCGACAATGACATCGGCACCGGCGTGGATCTGGGCCTTACATTCTGCGTCACCGAGGAGCTGCTCGGCCGTGTGGTGGAGCGCGAACTTAAGCCGGGCGGCAAGAACATCATTGTCAACGAGAAGAACAAGAAGGAGTATCTGGAGCGGATGATCAAGTGGCGGCTGGAGCGCGGCGTTCAGGAGCAGACGGAGTCGCTGGTGCGTGGCTTCTACGAGGTGGTCGACTCGCGCCTCGTCTCCGTCTTCGATGCCCGGGAACTGGAGCTGGTGATCGCCGGCACCGCCGAGATAGACACCAACGATTGGCGACTGAACACGGAGTATCGTTCCGGCTACCACGACAACCACCAGGTGATCGTGTGGTTCTGGCAGGTCATCGAGCGCTTCAGCAACGAGCAGCGCCTGCGCCTTCTGCAGTTTGTGACTGGCACCTCGAGCATTCCCTACGAGGGCTTCTCCGCGCTGCGCGGATCGACGGGTCCACGGCGCTTTTGCATCGAGAAGTGGGGCAAGCCGAATGCTTTGCCCCGCGCCCACACCTGCTTCAACCGGCTGGACCTGCCGCCCTATCCCACGCCCGAGCTGCTCTACGAGAAGCTGCTGCTGGCCGTCGAGGAGACCAACACGTTCGGCATCGAGTAGGCACGTGATATTGCACCTCAGCCTCACTTTGTAGCACCCAAAAAACACACCCGAAACGCTTTATTTCGATTTTAGAAGTTTTTTATAACTTACCTAAGTCTAGAAACTGGGGGTGATGCAGAAATTCCTGAAAAGGTTTAAATTTTCATTCCCTTGCAACCTAATGAATTCAATTGTTCAAAGGCAACTTGCAATTTTTTAAATATTTATACTTTGAAAAATTATTTGGTTTCATATGTTAGTCCCTAAACTTACTTCAAGTTGTATAAAGAGTTAGATAATGAAATGTAATCATAATCTTTATTAATTTAACATTTTTTAAAGGCATCTTGCAATTGAAATATTTATATTTGCTAAAATTATTTGGTTTCAAATGCTGATCCTTAAACTTACTACTAGTTATATAAAGAGTTAGGTAAATCAAATTTATTTCATAATCTTTTGTGAGAAGTAAGTTTGTACTTTAAAGTTGTTGAATTTTGTAAAGGCAATTTGCAACATTTGAAATAATTATACTTGCTAATATGTAAATGCAATTTATTTCATAGTCTTTTGTGAAAAGTTTGCTGGTACTTTATAATTGTTAGCTATTTCTAGACGCCTAAATAATATATAAATTTCATAGGACTTCTGCAACACCCCCGGATTGTACTGTAGTTATTTATATACGTAGGTTACCCGTCCCCTTCAAAAAAGAAAGAAAGACAAAAAGTGAAAAGCCTAGCCATAGAAAGACTAGCTACTTTAGGCATGTCACCCCACTAGTTCGTAGACAATTTGCCTTCGCCTTCGTTTGCCGTTCATTGAATGGAAGTTACCTCAAGAGCAAAACGGCTTGCCAGCGCCGCCAGTCATTAGTCCTAAGATCTACACGTACACCCCGTATAACCCGTAAGCCTAAGGATCCTTCGCTTGACTCTGCCTGACTTACAATCGAAATTGAAACGATGCCAACTGCCTCTAGAGAAATTTTCAAAGCGTAACCGCTGCTCCTCCAGATTCAGATTCAGATTCAGATACGGATACGGTTTAACAGGCGCCAAAGATTGAGAGCAGAGCAACTCTACTACGCCAATACTTAACTAGCTTATAATGTTGTCTTAGCCTTAACTCGAATTCCAACTCAAATTTGAACACTCCCTAGATGTGTGCATTCCAAAATAAGCGTATTGTGGATGTCAGTTATTATATAGCATATATATATATATATATATATTAATCCCTCTCTCCTTCAACCCAAAAAGTACGTAAATTGTTTTTTAATTTATGTACGAACCCTTTAACTATCCGTGCGGAAGCTTCCCTGTGCATCCTCGCCTGCCACTTGACCAAATCTCTGGCCAGGACAGACTGCACATGGCAGCTCCCGGCGGGTTTATATGGTATATTATATATACAACAATTGGCTGCTGTTTTGCCAACAATTACAATTTGGTCCAGTGCGTTGCTTCGGCTTTATTGGTTCTTTCGGCGCATAAATTAATATGGATTATATATTTAACGAAATCATACAAAATTCAAATACGTAGCTAATTGAAAAACGAAAGCAAACAAAAAACATTTTTTATTATTATTAGTATTAATCAAAAGCGAGAACGAAACGAAAAGATAACTAAATGGTGATTTGTTTACATGTATTTTTGGCATTAGTTAATACGGAAAGCGAAAGAGACGGAGAACCAGAGACGGAGAGAGACAGAGCGATAGACATGGAGTCAGTGAAAGAGACAGAGATAGAAAGATATAAAACGCTTTTTGAACTACTTATTGATAAATGAATTGTTTTAATAAAATATTAATGTGCGTGTATTTATGAACAAATTAACTATAATTATAAACAAATAAATGTGAGCCTTTTACTTCAAAAGCAAAACTGATTATTGTGGTTGTTTATGAACTTGGGATAGATCGAAGGTCGCAACCATTGTCCTAAATCAAAAGCTAACTGTTTTGACAGCTAACAAGCTAATAAATTGGTCCCTGCCATTTCCCGCCAATTTTCAAATATTTCAAAAGGATTGGTCAAGATATCGTCACAAACAGGCTCATTTTTACAGTCAACAATGATGTCAAGATAGCGTCACAGACAGGCTCAATTTTGCAGTCAGCAATGATGTCAAGATAGCGTCACGAACAGGCTCAATTTGCAGTCAGCAATGTTGTCAAGATAGCGTCACAAACAGGCTCAATTTTGCAATCAACAATGATGCCAAGATAGCGTCACAAACAGGCTCAATTTTGCAATCAACAATGATGCCAAGATAGCGTCACAAACAGGCTCATTTTTTACAATCGACAATTTTGTCAAGATAGCGTCACAAACAGGCTCAATTTTACAATCGACAATTTTGTCAAGATAGCGTCACAGACAGGCTCATTTTTTAAAAGGTCTTCACCAATTTTCGCATTTTTGGCAACTTTGCCAAGGTTTAAAATTCCTGAAAAGAGAGGAGCCCCCAAAAGTTCCGCCGAAATAAGTCAAAGGTATTCAATTTTCTATGTATTTTATCCACAATTTTCTTTTGTTACTTTTATTTGTTTTTTTAACTGCAAAATGCATTTTGCTTTTACATCAAGTTGTATTTTGGTTTCGTTTGTCTTCATGAAATGATAACATATACTTAAATGCCCTTAAATATTATGCGACCATTTCTCTAGGCTAAGACTTCCATGTTTTGGGCTTTTGGACTGGATCTTGGACTGGTTTGCCGGTGTCTGTACAGTGTCTCCCTGTGGTTTTGAGCTGGGTCAGTGGATTACCGGATAACTGGATTGCTGGAGTGATGGAGTGATGGAGACGTGTCTGTCTCCCGGGATTAGTGGTATCTCTTATTAAAGTGCGCGACAAATGCGAGTATTCAATATGCGGGGGAAAGTAGCGGCTAGGGGATGCTAGTGGATAGATCTATTCAAGAGTTGGTTAAGGGTGGGCTGGATCGATCGATCTTGTGACTGGCTTTTCGATTTTTTACGGTGCATGTTGTGCGCAGCAAAGCTTTCTGAAAGCATCGTGACACAGGCAACACTTTTGAGTACTCGTACTAGGTAATTCTCTTTACACTTCGTTTGAACGGAAAACAAAGGCTTGTGACTCTAGCTAAGTTTTAAATTACACTTGAAGAAATTTTGCTAATTTTCATACATGTGTTAATACATAGATATATATTTATATATATATATATATATATATATATATATTTTAAATAAATTCTTTCCTCCACTCCGCGACTAGAGCCTACAAAAAATATTTATAGTTATCATCGTGGTATCTTTTTGGGTCTCCTTTTTAGGGTTTTTCGATTATATGCAGTATGATCTCTGTGTCAAGCATTATAAAAATAGAACGTCCATCGATCTGGGAGGTGAGTATTCATTATTCATTATTAATTATGCAATCTGGTTAGGTTTCTTGTTCTTTGTTTCTCTCGGAAAAGGCCTTTGAAAGAATTGAAAATGGTTCTGTTCTGCGATTTGCGATTAAGTATTATTGTAGAGTATACATATGACTTCAATGGTCTGACTTGACTGGCTGTGCGAGGAGTATCTGTGGCTCCAATTTCGACTTGCATCTTTCATTCGGGTTTGATCACAGCTTTTACAATTCTAATGATATTCGTGTGAGTGGTAGAGTGTGTATGGAGAGTGTTTTTCTTTTTGGAGCTCAGTGCGGGCAATCTTTGAATTCGCACCAAAAATACTATATATTTCGTAGGTATTCGTATTTACATGCATACAAACATGACGAAAAAAAAAACGTATATTTATCTTTCTTGCAGATGTGTGTCGCAGTATATGCACTTAATTTCTTTATATTTATAAATATTTATAATACTTTCGCAAAGATGCACGAAGAAAATGCATTCTGTCCGACATTACATACACATAATTACACTTAATATTTCGTATTTCGTTTTCATTTCTGTTCGAGAAAGCTGCCATTCTTGACTTGATTCATAATTTTATATAGATCTTCTTGTTATTTAAAAAAGTAATACAAAATATGTTTGGTTTTCCTTCATTCATTTTCGTTACGATTATTAGATCCGTTTTAGATTCGCTTGGCATATGAAATATGTAGGAAAGAAGGCATGTTAGATATATGTTTCTTATTTTCTTGTTTTCTGTAATACTCGCTTTCGGCGCTTTCAACTATTTATGTTTAGTTGGTAAAATAATTGTTAGTAAAATTCACTACGACCCTCTGCACGATAATACACTTAATTTTGCTCTATTTATAAATATTTGTAAAGAATTAGCAAAAACAAAAAAAGGGGGTAAAAACAAAAAACACATTTAACAGCTGGGAGGCGAAGAGTTTTTTGGGGGGTGGGGGGTTTCGGTTTGGGTCACATCTGGAGAAGATGCGGCCAGGAGGGCAGGCTGGAGAAGATCACCTCTTCCCTTGGGCTATTTTCGTGGGCAACAACATTGAACAGTGCTTATATCTGATTTCCTCTGGTAGTTATATATTCGTTATACATATATTCATATATATGCGGTACGTAGATCTAGGCATATGCTATATAAGTTATGTGTGTAACTAGTTGGTTGCTTTTAGGAAATTTGCAACTCGCCGTGGTTCCTCTTGGGTTGAGATGGGGGGCAAAATGCACAAGAATTGTCCGCTCCTCCGATTCTGACTCTCCGCCGGACGGTTTGATCCTGGTCCTCGTTCTCATCCTCATCCGGATCCGGATCCTGATCCTATTTGCCTTCGTTGTACTCCACATCTTCATCGGACTCTAGTTAACTTTGTCATGATGTTTAAACACTCTTCGCTGTTTATTTTCTAGCTTTGTTTCGCTAATGCGGCTGGTTTTGATTCTTTTGTTTTGTTTTTGTTTCTTCTTTATTTTTAGCTATTTGTTTTTCATTTAGTTTAAATTTAATTTAAATAATGTTTATATATAGATGTTTTTGCTATACAACTATAGCTTGGTATGTAATAATATTTAAAAAAAAAAATAATATGTTAACGTAAATTGGTTACTCTACACTCTACACATTTTCAACTTTCTCGTACCTCGGAATCTATCGGTGCTTCCCATCGTTTCTCTCGCATCATATCATATCATATTATATCATAATCAGGACGAACATCTAGTCGGAAAAATGTTACAACTCCAATTTGCAATGGTAAAACATAGAATTATTCGGTTTCTCGTCCGTTTTTGCCCCATTCTGAAGACTGTGTGTACCAATTTGCGAAGGTAAAAAGTAAAAATTATTCTGTATACAAGTTGTTTTCCGTCCGCTTTTCCACAGACATCTGGAGACGGCCTACTCCGAGTCCTGTTCGCGCTCATCGAAGCCCGCCAGATCGACGGTCTGCAGCATTCCGCGCGAATAGGCATACTCGATGAGGGCCAGGTGGCAGAACACATACTGATCGGGCATCTGGATGGAGTAGGCGCGCTGCGACCGGATCTTCTCCACGGTGCCGCGTATATCCGCCGTGCCCACGTCCTCCAGCCGCGATATGCAAATGTCCAGGGTGATGAATGTGCCTGTGGAGCATCGTGAGGTCAGTGAAATCGGCAGGAATTGGTTACTATTAGGCCCACCTGTACGTCCAATGCCTGCACTGCAGTGCACCACAATGGGCGGTCCGCGGGCGTGGCCCGCCCATGTGTCGCCCAGTGCGTTGACCAGCTCCGCCTGCTTCTCGCGCACCTTCTGCAGGAAGTTCAGCATGGCCATGGCCGAGCTGGGCACCCCGTAGTCCGGCCAGCTGGTGAACTGCCAATGTGAGACATTGCGTATTTCGTCAGTCTGTGGGGGAAATGGGATAAGCAAACAACTAAGTGAGTTATAAAGTTCTAATGCAGCTTGCTAATTCAATAAACTTCACCTTTATGTTTCTCAATTCCAACGAGGCCACCATATAGTCCTCGTTGCACTCAACGCTAATTGTTCGCACATGGTAGTCGCCAAACTCTAAGGAACTTTCTTCAGTCGGCTCCCAGTACTGGCCGCATTTAACGCGTCCGCGCTCCATAACGCGCGTCGTCATCACTATAACTAAACAATGTTGCTCCCAGATCATGCGCCAAAAGTCCTGGGATGTCTTTGGTAATGGACCTGCAGGGAGATCCAAAAATCGTTAGCTCACAGTTTATATATGGTAGGATATGGCACCTTCGCACCTTGAGTTGAAATATAGGCATTCTTCTGTTTGTAGCCATCGACGAAATTCGCATTTATGTAATCCGACGGCTCGTCGCCGTCTTCGTGGGCCAGCACCACTCTACTGTGATCGTAGCAGAGGACGTCTGTGTAGCGGTTCTTGGTCAGGTTGGCGCGCATCCTGCAGGGATTGAAGAAAATTCGTTACTAGATATGTAAATGTTTGAACTAGAGGTATGAGAAATGAAATTAGGCAAGCTTTCCAAACTTAAATGTAAAAAATATATTCGCTGGATTCTGCTAAACAATTCGCTTTTCAATTTTTGCTCATTCTTTGCTATACGTTTCGAAATGTTTTATACAGGGTTCCAATGTATATACTTATCGCAATCTAATGCCCTCACCTCGCATGCAAAAAGGTGCCCTCGGGCGCCCTATTCCGAATGTCCGCGTACTCCTTGATCAGCCCATGGCGTCCGCGCTGCTTCACCATCTGGACAATCTGATCGATGGGCTTCGGGTCACCCTCCTGGCCGGCCAGACTGTCGTCGTCGCTGAAGCCGGACGAGGCGCTACTCGGCGGATTCTCCGACCAGAATTCGCCGCCCCCGTTGGTGGTGGTGGTGCCACCAGTTGCTCCAGCTGCACCTGCGACTGTGGCGGCGGCGGTGGTGCTGTTGTTCTCCGCCGAACCACTCGTGTTGAGCTTGAGGGGATTGGCTGCTGTGGCGTTGCTGCTGCCGCTGCTACTGCTGTTGCTCGCCTGACGGTGGCTGGGACTCAGTCCGTTGATTGTGATGTTTTCGTTGGACTCGGAACTGCAGCTCACTGCTGACGCTGCCGCGGACGCAGCTCCTCCAGCTGGACCCACGCCATTGCTGACCGTCACCACGGTGGTATTGTTATCGCCCAGCAGATGGACGGCGCTGATTATCGTGGCACCCGTTGTGGCGGCCTCGGCCGATTCCGTGCCATTTGTGGCCACTGCCGCCGATCCAGTTGCAGAGCCAGATCCGGCCACACCCACGATATTGGCCAGCAGCTCGTCCTCACGATTCGTCATCGATTGGCGGCAGCTGAGCAACCATGTGGCGTGATCGACCTCCAGCGTGCCACCCAAGTGAATGGGCAGCGCCTTGCGCGGCACGTGCAGCGCCAACTGAGGCACCGATACAGTGAACACCCGCTCGCGCAGCTTCTCGCGCACAAACAGACGCAGGATCTTGAAGGGCGCCTTGAACCACAGCGGCGCCGTCACGATCAGCACCTTCTTCAGACGCGCCGGATAGCCGCCCTGAAATGGTAATCAGAGATATTCGGGATTAGAACTGGTTATTGATTGAACTTTCTATTTATACATTTTATCGTTATATAATTGCTACAGTATTAAATGGTCTTCAAGACCCCAAGAAACATATATATACACCTTGTAGTGGTGAAAAGACATTTAAATCGAATCTACACATCATCTTATCTTCCCTTTAAAAAAATCGTTTTTTATAGTTTAATATAAGCGTCCTTTAGAAACGACCTCTATGACCAAAAGAGTCAAACTCCTGAATTTTCACTCGAAATTTGTAATTAGTTTAGCCCGTTTGTTATTGATTTCTTTTTACCAATTGGTTAAAAGTAATATTAATGTCTATGAGTCAAGTTATCAATTAGAAGGCTTTCGTCTGGCATTTCGCCGGAAGTTTTTAATGGCATACATCGATAGGCAAGACAACGTATTTTCATTCTACCGAGAACCAATTTGTGGCATTTGACATTTTTGCTTAACATTCGGTTTCAACCTGTGCCATTTTCCCCAGAACTGTACTTTGCAGCTTTGGTTTTGCATTCGAAACAGCGAGGGCTGTATTTGAAGTGACATTTCCCCGAACGTCTGTTGATGAAACTAACTAATTCGCCCACCACCTCCCACACACAACCTGTAGTTTTTCCCAGAAATATTGATAGTGAATACTGCTGGGCATCGGCCAAAAAAGAGAAAGGGGGGGGGGGGGAGTATGAAAAGTCCACGCGTGGCAGAAACCAGAGATACACTTTCCGATTTGCGAGTGGGCCACGCACAGGGGGCACAGTTTCCAGGGAAACCTTCTGCAATAAACCAAGTTGACCTGCACATGGCACGAGTTCCGACTAAAAAGCTTTGCATTTATTAATTAACACGCAGCCCAATGAAATGCTCTGGTTGCTCTTCTCTGTGGCCAATTGCGTTGCGAACATTGGCAAAGGGGATTTCAAAGAACACTCGTAGTTCTCGGAAAAATGTGGAAACCTTGTTCCTGTAATCACTGAAATCTCTTTCAACCAAACGATGTACATATATATTTCGAGTAAGGCACAGAAACCTTTATTAAACTCTGATAAGTTTCCCCTTAAGAAAAAAATGAAGTGATTAGGATTATGAAAAGAATACATAGGGTTTTCATTTTAATAAATCTCTCATGATTTTTAAGGACATTTAAAAGTGTCTTCGAATGTCTATAGGTCAATGTGTGAGATCTTTTTACCATTAATCTAATTTATGCATTTTAGAGCTACTCTTACATATATGTACATATGGCATCTGCTCAGTCCTATATATGTATATATATTAGGCATTTAAGCACTTTCATAGATTCAACCAGTAAAGCTACAGCTTCCACTTTTTCACCAAATTTACTTTCTTAAGTGTTGATTTACGCTAAGAACGGACTTTTGGCTCAAGATATTTCCATTTATGTGACCAGAGTAAGTTCTTGCTAGTATACCATATAGTACACATGCTTTTGGCTGACCACACACAGTACTGATTAAGTTGAAAGGGCCGCGAGGTAAAGCGGCTAAAAGAAAACTGCGACAACATTCGACGGTTCGGTTGAGAGAGAGGAAAAGTGGGTGGTGGGGTGATGGGGTGATGGGGAGATGGGTGGTGGAAAACCAACCGGCAACCTTCACCCAGTTGGGCAAATGTTGAGCAAATTTCATTGCGGCATTTTTCGCCGATGCCACATTGAGATACAGCAAAAACAACAAGTGGAATACTTGGCTTCACTCAAAGGTGAAATGTGATTTCCCAGCGAAAGAGAGAAAGGTATATAGGTGTATGTATGTAGATATGGATACCATCCTTATGTACAGAGAGAGAAAGAGAGCGTGTCAGTGAAAGAGAAAGGGGGTGTGGGTGGGTTTGATTTTGGTGTATACGTACACATACATATACAATATATCATCCATGCCATCATTATTTAGTTTATTGGCCCCAAAAGCGGTGCAGCAAGCAGATTAAGGTCAGCAAGCAGTGGGGAAAAAAAAGAGAAAAAGGCAACAGAGAGTGCGGTAAAAGCAACAACAAATGCACTTTAATTAAACGCACAATCAGAACCAATATAAACACACACACTCATGTGTTTGTGGGAAATTTAATTAAAAGTTCTTTTCGCAGTTTACCTAAAAAATATTGCCGCTTCTCCTGCGTTTCCCTGCTTTTCGCCATTGTTGGCTCAATAAATTCCAGTTAAAGCTCTAATTGGCAACATTTTCAATTAAGTTGGGTGAACTTCCCAACAACAAACCCCCTCCCCCTCCCCCATGCATTGCCTCTCCTCTCTGCTTGCTCTTCTTGTTCTTCTAAAGATTGCATCATCCAATCATACACATACGCAGAAATGCAGGCAACACACACTCACACACAATAAACAACTTCCTTTCATCTGCTGCTTCTCCTTCTTCATCTTCATTTTCGTCTTCTTCCTCCTTTGCCTTGCCCCCTTTTTCGTTACTTTTCATGCTTTTGTATTGCTTTTCAGTTTGTTTTCATGTGCACTTTCACTTTGATCACAGCACACACACATGCATACATAGACACGTGAATTTACCTTAAAGCACCGTTGCTTTCAGTGTGCGTTATGCTGGAAAGTAGGCAATATTATTTTTATGTTTCTTCAAGGAGAATTTAAATCATAAATCCTCAGTGAGGGCTATTTATTTTCCTATTTCATTTAAGTATAGATTGTTTTTGCTTGAAAGTTTGTTGGAAAAATATGTTAAGTTATTCTAAAGACACTCGCATAAATCGCAGTTTCTTTCAATGTTGCACAATTTTTAAAAACGTCATGCAGGAAAGTAGGCAAGGTAAGTTAGCATTAATATTGAACAATTGTAATTTTTAATTTAGGTACCAAACAATTATTCATCAATACTTGATTATTACTTTATTACGCGTGGAATGAAATTTTCTCCAGTGTCATTTAGCACTATTTATTATTCTCCATCAAGGAACAGGTGAACGCTTATAAATTTATCGCATGTCCTTCAGTTCTACAATTTGCATATTGAAAATTCTCAATTAATTCCCTAATTAACCTACTTGACCTTGACGGAATCCTTTTAAGTAGCGTACCAATTAAAAATGAGCCTTAAGTGAAGGTGAAGGAAATAAATAACCTTGTAAGCCTTAACTTTCCAAAGTTTGAAAGTGGGCTACATAATTTATTAATATTTTAGTTTTTCTTTGCCATATATATTATATGAAATATTTTCCTGGCCAACTACTTCCCATGTCCTTTAGTTGTCCAATTTGCATATCAGCAGTACTCGATAAAGGCAATAAATAATCGACTTTCTTCTGGTAGTTTTTTTCGTTTCCCCAACTTGGCCAATAAATAATGCAAGGTGCGTGCCTCGAAGAAATTTGAATGGTTAACAACAAAAAATAAGAATGAAATATTGTATAACATTTCATTTCACATTCTCTTCTGGCATGTGAACTTTAAGGGTGCTTATGAGTCATAATCGGAAATATTCGTACGTGTTCTTTTTGTTTCCGTTTTTGTTGCACATTGTAACACCAAAGGTAAATATACTGAAACTGAAACTATAACCCAAAGCACAAATATCGAACTTGTCGTCCGGCGTTTCAGGGTCACAAGCCATCCGCTTTTCAACACCCTCAATTTCTGGTTATTCCCACATCCAATTAGAATCCAATTGGGGGGCTGGCGGCGCTCAGATAGCAGGCAATCCAATAATAACAATCACAATGTTCAGTCAGCCAGCCAGCCACCCCACATGCACACATTTAATTGACAAACACATCCCACAAAAGAAAAAAAAAATTAGCAGGTGAACATCATGAAAATTCTGCTATTCTTGGCCAGATTATTTGCCTTGGGGGCCAAAAAGTCTGCGCAAAAGTTGAATGAAACTTGGGACAAACTTGAAGCATCCACCTTCGCGTCTCCGGATTTCACCCTTTCCCTAACCTCCGCCCACCGCCCACCGCCCACCGCCCTCGCCGACATGCCACGCCCCCTCCGGCGGAGAGAGGGGGAAAAAGACTAAGGAGGAATTTTCCTGATGGGACTCGAGTGGGCAACTTAACGTGCCTTGGCATGCGTTTTGCTCCCGATTCTCCCCGACGACTCGACTTGGGACCCCTCTTCATTTTATCCATCCCACTTTGCTGAAAGCAATCCTGGTTACTTGGCTGCAAAAATGTGTGGGATGCTGGGGAAATTGGATATTGTTATATGAAGTTTATTCCTGGCTAAAGCTAAAATTAGCAACTTTGCCTGGTGGTTATCATGCACAGAGAGAAAATGACGAGGTAACAATATAATTGGCAAGCCATAACTTGAATTTAGATGCAATTAGATGCATGCAATACCACTTTCCAGCACTGCTTTGTACCAGAACCTGTGGAGTTTGTTATGACTCATATTCAAAATTAGCAATGAGGACTGGCGATAGATGTTCCCTGTATCTTAAATCAGTAAATCTTGACTTACAATTGAAACAAAAGACCTTTTCAACACTATAACAAAGGATCGGCATTGGCTTGTTGCAAAACCACTTTCCAACACTGTCACATAACAGGTTCTTTTGAGTGTATAATAACTCACCTCAAGTGCCACAATCGACTTTTAGTCCTGGCTGCGAAATATGGAGGTAAGCTGGCTTAATTGGATGGCTTCTGGGAATCTGATGCAAGCATTCAATTTCAGCTTAATTATAATTTTCATCATGGTCAAGGCGAAATCCAATCACAACAGAAAGGATACAGTGTAGGCGATTATTAATAAAATTTGCACACTTCCACGAATAGGAAACAGTAAATGAAAATGAACTCCATCTTGAAATAAATTCAATAGTTCCCTGAAATCAATCCCTTAATTAACGAGAATATCATTTACATGTAGTTTGCTATTCCTGGGAATTCAGGAGATGCATTTTAATTGCAATCTACAAATGTCAAGGGGGACTCACGAGGAACCCAATATGCCAGGAATTTCTGCGGAATTGACGCAA